ATGACATAATGCTATATATAAAAAAACCCTAAAGACTTCATCAAAAACTTGTAACTAATAAATGAATTCTGTAAAGTCACAGGATACAAAATCAATATACAGAAAACTGGTATTTCTATATACTAATAATGAACCATCAGAAAGAAAAACTAAGAAAACAATCCTATTTATAATTATATCAAAAAAATACTTGGGAATAAAATTAATCAAGTAGGGCCGGCCGAGTGGCACGATGGTTAAGAGCTGGCTTGGGATGCCAGAGGCCCCCCGTTTCGGATCCCACATATGAGGGCCAGTAACACTGCCCTCTACAGCTAAGATGCTGAACAACAGCTCAATCTGGAGCTGGGCTGCGGTGAGTCACCGGTGACGGTGTAGGCTGCAGCTCACGTGGCAGTGGGTTGCCATGGGCTACCGTATGTAGCCAGCAGCCAGCATGAGCAGCCAGCAGCCGCAGTGAGCAGCCGTCCAGAAGCTGGCGACTGATCTGCCTCGCCCGGGAAGAGCGCAATGATGGTGCCAACTTGGGCCACTGAAGCAACGCCCTCCACAACTAGACTGAAGAACAAAACGACAGCAACTTGTCTGTTCCCTTTCCCCCAATTCCCCAATAAAAATCTTAAAAAAAAAATTAACCAAGGAAGTGAAACACCTGTAAACTGAAAACTGTAATATAATGATGAAAGAAATCGAAGAAGATACAAATAAATGAAAACAAATTCTTTGCTCATGGATTAGAACTAGTATTGTTAAAATACCAATACTACCCAAAGCACTCTAAAGACTCAATGCAATCCCCAAAATTCCAATGAATATTTCATAGGATTAGAACAATTAATTCTAAAATTTGTATGGAACCACAAAAGACCCTGAGTAATCAAAACAATCTTGAGAAAGAACAAAGCTGGAGGTTATACACTCCATGATTTCAAACTATACTGCAAAGCTATAGTCATCAAAACAGTATGATACTGGAACAAAAACAGACACACTGACCAAAAGAACAGAACCGAAAACCCCAAAACCCACACATATATGTACAATTATTTATGACAAAGAGATCAAGAACAGACAATGGAGAAAAATAATAGTCTTTTCAATAGATGGTGTTGGGAAAACTGGATAGCCACATGCAAAAGAATGAAACTAGACCACTATCTTATACTGTACACAGAAATTAATTCAAAATGGATTAAAAACTTGAATGTAAACCCTGAAGCCACAAAATACCTAGAGGAAAACATAGGTGATAATCTTCTTGACATAGGTCTTAGCAATGTTTTTGTGGACCTGACTCCTAAGACAAGGAAAACAAAAGCAAAAATGAACAAATAGAACTAAATCAAACTAAAAAGCTTCTGCACAGTAAAGGAAACTCTCAACAAAACTAAAAGGTAACCTACCAAATGGGAAAAGATATTTGCAAATCATACATCCAATGAGGGGTTAATATCCAAAATATATAAAGAGCTCATAAATCTCAATAACAACAACAACAACAACAAAAACAACCTGATTTTAAATATGGGCAGAGAATCTGCATAGACATTTTTCCAAAAAAGATATACATATGGCCAATAAGCACATGAAAATATGTTCAACATCACTAATTATTAGGGAAATGCAAATCAAAACCACAGGATATCTCCTCACATCTGTTAGAATGGCTTTCATCAAAAAGACAAGAAACAAGTGTCGGAGAAAATGTGGAGAAAAGGCAACCCTTGTACACTGCTGGTGGGAATGTAAATTAGTATATCCACTATGGAAAACAATATGGAGACTTCTCAAAACAATTAAGAATACAGCTGCCATACAATCCTGCAATTCCACTTCTGAATATTTATCTGAAGACTATGAAAACACTAATTTGAAAACATGTAGGCATCCTTATGTTTTTTGCAGCATTATTTACAATAGCCAAGATATGGAAACAACCTAAGTGTCCATTGATAGATTAATGGATAAAGAAGATGTAGCATATATACACATGGACTACTACTCAGCCATAAGAAATGAAATCTTGCCATTTGCAACCGCATGGATCAAATTTGAGGGTATAACGCTAAGTGAAATAAATCAGGCAGAGAAAGACAAACATGATATGATTTCACTCATATGTAGAATCTAATAGTAATAAAACCTAATGAACAAAACAAAACAAAAACAATCTTATAGATGCAGAGAACAGATTGGTGGTTACCAGAGGGGAAGGCGGTTGAGGGGTGGGCAAAAGTTATGAAGGGATCAATTGCATGGTGATGGATAGTAACTAGACTTTTGGGGATGATCACTTTATAGTGTATACAGATGTCAAATTATGAAGTTATACACCTGAAACTTAAATAATAAAAACAGAGAAAAACAAATTAAACCCAAAGTAAGTAAAATAGAAGGAAATAAATTATAATACACTATAGTGACAGCAGATCAGTAGTTGCTTGGGCTGGAAGTTGAGGTATATTGATTACAAAGGGACAGCAGAGAACATTTTAGAATTCAAGAATTTTTTTCTATTTTGATTATAGTGGTGATTATATAAATATAAAGAATTTTCAAAACTCATTGATCTTTACATTTGAAATGAGTGTGTTCATTGCATGTAAATTCTGCCCCATTAAACCCGATTTAAAATATTTTAAAATCTCTTAAAGCTATATGAAATTTATGAAATTTTATGTATATTTTAGCAAAATATCTGTACCTAGGAGGTATTCAGTAATCATTTGTCCCTTTCCCAATTTTGCTTGTGAATAATGTTTATAATGTGCTTCATCGTGAAGTGGATATTTCCAAGCTTGTTTGGACAATTTAGAATGTGATGCTTGGGTTATTAAATATTTTTTGGTAGAAACTGAGAGACTTCCTCTCCCCGTGTCTAAAATTAATCCAGAGATAGGGAGAGGGGCTAGAGGAGAGAGCTGCAAAAACTGGAATTGCATCTTCATGGTTTTCCGTAGTGTGTCTCACCCCCACTCCCTCCTGACCCCAACCCTGAGATAAATAATTAAAGAAAAATACTCAATTGATTCTGATGTTGACATTTTACTGTTAAAAGTGCTTTTAGCTTCAAGTAACAGAAAATTCAGCCAACAATGGCTTGAGGAAAAAGAGTTTATTTCCCCACATAACAAGAAAATGTGGCAGCTGGTGATGGTTCAGCAGCTCGAAGGTGTCAGATATGGCATTTCTGAAATTCTCTTGACTATTTCTTCATTTTCACACTGCAGTTGCCACTACAGTTATCAGGTTCATGTTCAAGTCATGAAGCAGCATTGTCAACTATCTCCGCTCCCTTTATCAGTGAAAGAAGAACTTTTCCAGATGTTCCCCAGCAGACTTCTGCTACAGCCTCTGGCCAGCCGGATGTGACATGGCTATCTGTCAGGGTGTAGCTGTGAGGGTGGCTGGATAAATCAACTTACATGCTCCAGCTCTTATTGGAGGGAGAAGGTTAGTTCATAATGGATGTGGGCTAACCACCCAGTAGTAACTGCTCCAGTTTTCCTTACCAGGTGCTTGAGAACAGCTTCTTTATGTTTTGTTGTTTTTTTTCCATCTTCTGCACAGTTTGATATTTACTCGCAGGAGGATTTACATAGCTGTGTGAGAAAATGAAATTCTATCTGAAAAGAAATAAGGTCCTAGGTAATAGTGAGAGCCAACTTTAACTCTATATGTAGTAACTAATTTTAGGAATCTCAGAAGGCTAATTAATTCCCTCCCCAATTCTTCATCCATTGATTTATGCTTGAATTTCCTGTTTCATCCTTCATAACCCATTTATTCTAATTAATGTATAGAGAGCATCTCTGAGGTTACAAATTGAAGATGATAATCAAAATTTTGCAATTACCTGTGAAATGAGGAGCTGCAAGTAGATTTTAAAGAGGTTCAAGGAAAGCATTAAGGTACTGACGGGGGTTGAGTAAGAAACCAAACACCCATTTCATCCTCTTGACAATTTTGTTCAGAATTAGTCCTCGTACATCTGTAACCCATCATACTGGTTTATACATTATCTATTTCTCTAGTAGTCAGTAGTTGAATTAGATTATTTTCTTTCTTTTTCAAGAGAATAAATACCAAACAATACATGTTCCTAGCTTATCTGCTGTTACTCTCCTATAGAAACCAAAAATGACTTTCCTTGATAGTCTCAAAATATGCTGTACACTTTCCTGCTTCTACGCAATTGCTCAGAATATGTCCCACCCAAAATGCACTGGTCCACTGAAATCTTGTTCATTGGTCAGTGCCATTTTCAAATACTCCTTTCTTTGTTCACCCTGCTTAGAGTATATCAGTTGGAGTTTGTTTTTGTGACACTAACCATATGCTACCTGTTTTGGCAGATATTGTGTTACAACCCTATTAAAACATAAGGTCCTTTATCTCAGAGAATGACAACTAGCCATCTCTATAGTACTTTCTATGACAACTTATGTATTATAGGCACTTTATTTTTAATCTAGTTGTTTCATTTTTATTCTGCTTTACCCTATTTATAGAATAAATGTAGAATAAATGAATAAATGGAGTAATACCATGGCTTGAAAAACTATTGGCCTGAACAAATTGAAAATCTTCTAAGCTCCCTCCAGTATCATCACCAAATGGTGTGTATATATATTTTTAATGAACAGCTCATTTTTGGCATTTGTGTATAAGTTGTTGTATTTTAGAGATACCATTGAAAATAATAAATAAAGAATAACAGTATTTTCTAGAATAGAAAACAAGAATTCTGAGCATTTGGCACTAAAATATATTATGAGCAGTAATTTATTTAGTAACTTTCTCATCAGAGAGCTAAATTGTTAATCTTGGTTTCTTGCTAGGACTGGTGTTTGTGGGTTTTATTGTAGCAACTCTTCCATCTGGTGATAGCCAGTAGTTGAACTGGATTCTTCTTTCTTTGCCAGGAGAGTCAGTGACTTAATAAAACTGTGGTGTTTCTCTACAATATTAATAGCATGTCATTTGTTTTTTTCTGGTAGGTCATTTGCTCCAAGCAAGAAGACTCATAGTTAATATTGTCTGCTCTTCACTGAAAATGAACTCAAACCAGATCCACATGACATGGAAGAGACACTCTGTCAATAGTTTTCTTACCTCGACCAATGGCTCAATAGTTCTGAGGGTACCACAAGGACATGCCACTCTGGAGTCCTGTTGATGTCTAAAGATGGCACCAATACACTAAATGGAGACCAGTCTGATCAAATCCTTATGAACAGAACATCACTGGGAGAGTGCTAATTTTAAAAAAATTTAATACAAATAAATGGTAATTTCTAATTTTCTTTCCCTTTGGAGCATGTCTACCCTGACACTTCAACAATTTCAAGTGATGCAGTCTTTGCATTCATTTTAATAGCTTCCTTTCTATTAAGGTTCTGATGCAGTAATTTGTCACCTACAGAATCTAGGAATTCCACAATTCTCAGGAGCAGAGAAATAAAATCAATGCTAATGATTCTAACAAAGTCTAAAATTGTTTATGAATTAAAAGAATGCTAGACTGAACTAAAGTAAAGGAGAATTTCCATCCAATAATTTCAAAGGTGTAGGGCTGCTAATTTACCCCTCTGTCTTTCCGGAGACTGCATATGAACACCAAAGGAGAACCCTGGAAAAAGCCAAATTAAGAAGGAGCAATTTTATCTATTTACTTATTTATTTTTATTTATTTATTTTTTAGCTGAGCCATCCTGCTACCTGTTGGCAGCTCAGCGGCAACTCAGCTTGGGCTGGGCATCGAACTGCTGTTGCTCAGAGCTCACACTCTTGCGCGAGCTCTTAACCAACTGAGCCACTCGGCCGGCCCTGGGGGAGCAATGTTAGATCACTCCAAGAATTCAGAATGAAACTGAATGCTGCCTGCCCCACAAATTAGGATCTTTTGATTTACAAAATTTCAATCCAATCTCTTTTCAAAATTCTAGCCTCAAATGTTGTCTTCCTATTCTTCCTCTTGTCCAGGCTTGGATTCCCCTCAGATCTGTGATGTTGTCTTTTTTTCAAGAAATCAGGGTTCCTTACCTTCTGAAGTCTGATTTACTATTTGAGAATGATCTTTCTTTTGCCAGGGTGTCAACAAATTGCCCAAGATTGTGTTCCTGAAATAGCTGAAATCATTTTCAAGCCAAGCTCCATAAACATTACATTTTATTATCCTAGAAAGAACCACAAGACATTAGTCACTGCTAGTTGCATTCCTATGTTATGAAAGACTTTTATTACTTCTGTTTTTGTATTTATGAGAGTGCCCCAGTTTTTTCAACATTATTTAGGACAACAAGTCATCCTGCTTCTATACTGTCATCCATTCTGTACCACAGGGATTCTGATAAGCTCCGTGGAAACTTCAGAAGTGCCGGGTTCTGAGTCACCTGAGGACTTGTGCATCCTTTACCTCTGCTTTGTGGTCAGTGGCCAGGACACAATGTTTCAGTGCTTCAATCTCCAAGGCCTAGGAGTCTGGGAATCCACCGGCAAGCACCCTTGGCTCCGTCGTCTATAAGAGATCATTCCTGTGAACGATCCTCTTCCACTTCTTTGTGGTGTTCCTGGAAAGGCCCTCAACAAGGTCAAGCTCATAGTGAAAAGCAAATAAATATATCGCCTTCCTTGTCTAAACTGAAGACTCGGTGATAGCATAGGCACTTTTATCTTCTGTCTTTTCACACTTGCAGGTATACTGTGATCATTTTTAATATTCTTAGATATTATCAAAACATGAGATGAATAGTACATTTCATGTAATATTTTAAAATATGAATGTATAATTTATGTGACAATTCAGTTGACTTTTGACATTTAGATTATAGTTTTGCTCAGTTTTAAACAATGCTATTCCGCTATGCATTTTCTTTCTGATTTTTTGTTTGTTTATTTTTGGCCTCATCTTGGGTTTGAATATCAAAGTGTTAACAGAGTTTCTTCAACTTTCTCTTTATCTCATCTTGTATTTATCCTGAGGCTCTTTGGGAATAGAATTGAAAATAAAATAGAGTCAAGGAGTTTCTGTTTGGTTTTCTAAGTAGCAGTTTATTCCTTCCGCAGAACCAAACATGAGAAAGGCCACTGGGTATGGACTCTCAGGGCTGGCAAGAGCAAGAGACCCTCTGGGCAGCAGGACAGGCCCAAGCATCTGTGGCTTTGTGGAGACAGTTGGGAGGATAGTAGGTGCTTCTCATTTTGAACTTTGAGGTAGAAATTGCCTTGAATCTGCTTTGTCTGAAAGTGGCTTGAAACCTCGGATCAGACAGTTGGATGTAATTAGCCTTAAGCAGTGAAGGCCAATTTAGACAGTCGGTCTGAGCTTTGGTCCCTCTGCCCAGGACGCAGTGGCTTTTCTGTCTTAATGGTCTGTGAGGCCATCCTCCACCTCCTCTCCGTACTTCTGTTTATTTAGGTGTTACTACTTACTGTTACAAATGAATGTTCCTTTATGTGCCACCTCTCCTTTTAATTATACCTCTGGCAGCCTGGGTCACTTCCCCTGGCTCACTTCTGATTTCAGCCATACTTATGATGAGAGTTCAACACAAGCTCAGAGCCACTTTGCCCTGACAACATCCCCCTTCTGAAATGCACCATGTGTCTTTTTTTATTTTCTGTTCCAGCATTTTTTCCAACTCTGCAGGAGCCTATCAGAACTTGCTTGGCTCATGCACAAGCTCAGTCCAGAAACTCAGGGTAGTTAATGTTTGACAGCAAACATGGGTTGAGAGCAGGTGTTTAAGGATTACAGCCTCCCTTTCGGTGTCCCAATTGAGTGACAATTCTAGGACACTTTTGCACGCTTCTCTTGGTGTCCTCATTACCCACAGTAGAGACTTTGATAATGCTCCCTCATATTTTCTTCTCCTCTTTCCTTGTCTCACACTCCTCATTACTTCACTCCTGTATCCTGGGGTCATAGCCCAGATAAAATATCTTCTTCCAAATTTTTGTCTCAGCTTATACATTCAGGGAACCTAAACTAAAACAGCACAGAAGTGGTCCTTGAAAGCCAGCTCTCAGAATTGGACCAGAGAGCTGGCTCACTTGCCTGTCAGGAACAGTTGGGTGGCATTAATGGTGATTAGAAGAGAAGTGGTAACCTCTAGAATGCTCTTAGCTCCTGGCAAGTTATAGCATTACAATTATGAAGAGGCTTATCTGTGTTGGGCTCAGAAGAGGTACAGCTATAAGAAGAGGTGATGGTGTATATATAGCAGGGGTCAGCTTGCTGTAAGCTGTGGGCTAAATCTGATCCACTGCCTAATTTGGTACATAAAGATTTATTGAAACATGGTTCATTCATTGATGCATTGTCTGTGGATGCTTTTATGCTATGACAGCAGAGTTCAGTAGTTGCCATATTGTGGTTCTGTAGAGACCATATTGTTAGCAAAGCCTAAAATACTTACTATGTGGCCCCTTAATGAAAAACTTTGCAGACTCTTGGTGTATAACATGGGCTAAACTCAGCCAGGCTGGAATGCATACTTATTGATTGCATGTTTATCTCCAGGGTTGCCTGAAGCATGGTACTGATCCTTGGACAAAACTACAGAATGAACTAACTCAGATAAATTATAGTTTACAGCCACGAGTCTGTGAGTTGTTTGTGGACAGCTAAAGAGGCTGAATGGAAAAAAAATTTTTTTTTTAGATTTTTTTTTTTATTGGGGAATTGGGGGGATGGGAACAGCACTGGGGAATTGGGGAAGGGGAACAGACAAGTTGCTGTCATTTTTTGTTCTTCAATCTAGTTGTGGAGGACGTTGCTTCACTGGCCCAAGTTGGCACCATCATTGCGCTCTTCCTTGGCGAGGCAGATCAGTCGCCGGCTTCTGGACGGCCGCTCACTGCGGCTGCTGGCCGCTCACGCTGGCTGCTGGCTACACACGGTAGCCCATGGCAACCCACTGCCACAGGGGCTGCAGCCTACGCCGTCGCCGGCGACTCATGGCAGCCCAGCTCCAGGTTGAGCTGTTGTTCAGCATCTTAGCTGTAGAGGGCAGTGTCACTGGCCCTCATATGTGGGATCCGAACCGGGGCCCTCTGGCATCCCAAGCCAGTTCTTAACCATCGTGCCACTCGGCCGGCCCTGGAAAATATGTTTTGATTAATACAAAAACTACAATACACAGCCATTTTTGAAGAGAAAAAAAAATCTCACAGGAGGGACAAAGTTTGAACCTGTTGTATTGGATTAAAGGAGAAGCACATTATACTTATAAGGAAAAGTGGCATTATGCCACCTTATCTGACTAAACTTGGCCGCATAGTGACAAATGATTTACTGCCTAGTGGATGACAGAGTCCCATGTCTTTATCTTTCAAACCTTACCCCATGTAAATAAAATGGGTGAGGGAGAAGTCACTATCAAGACTACTATTTCTTCTAGCAATATGGGTGAGTTAATGTGCTGACTTAGAGGCAGGGACATTTGATTTAAGATAAATGATAGTTGGAAGGTAAAATAATTGTAGCTATTAAGTTTTGGTGGTATCTTGTTATGCAGCAATATGCAGCAATTAGATAACTAAAACAATGTCCATGGTGGATTAAAATGTGGGGTCTTTGGCCAGCTCCAGTAAGAGACGCACAGCTTATATCTCTAGGGACCTGAAGGAAGGCTATGTTTTTCTGCAAGAGAACTCCCCATCATATAAGAAACTGGTCCTGGTGTCATACTGGACCCTAGTAAAGACCAAGCGTCAGGTCATGGGGCACCAAGTATGTTACTATACACCCAAGCTGCCCATCATGAGCTACATAGTATCAGACCCATGAAGTAACAAGATTGGATAAGCACAGCAGCAAATGCATTATATGTATCTGAGATTGGGCTTGGCAGGTCCAGAAGGCACAGTAACTTTTTTGAATTGGTATCCCAGACTCCTATGAAACTTAAGTTTATTGAACAAATGCTTCTTCCTCAAATTCCTCAACTTTCTCAACAAACTCTTAGAAGATTTCCTAAGATCAGCTGATGGAAGAAAAAAAAACCTCGGGAGTAGCTCACAGATGGATTTATAAAAATATTCTACAGAACTATAGCCCCACTCAAGGATGTGCTGAAAGACAGTGGTGGGGGACATCCACCAAATGGGAGAATGTTTCAGTGGTGCACTTGGCATCCCCTTTGTGGTTAGAGAAGTAGCTCGTGGTAAGGATGCACACAGAATTCTGGCCAGTGGTAAGTATCTTGGAAGGAGCAAGGTCCAGGAAAAGATCTGGGATAGAAGCATGAAAATAGATTTTATTGGGGGGGGGGG